ACCCAGAAAAGATTTTTTTGTCTTTTTGAGACAGGGTCTCCCTGTAGTCCCAGCTGTTCTAGAACTCCCTATGTAGACCAGGCTGGCCTTGAATTCACAAAGATTCACCTGCCTCTGCCTCCCAAGTGCTGGGGTTAAAGGCGTACGTCACCATGCCCAGCTCTTAACCCAAATTTTTAACAGTAACTACTATTTACAAGGCATTTATTGTGGCAGGCCCATTAGCAAAGTAAGATCTTCACAAAGATGACCTCATTTAATCCCCATAATCCTCACATTACACAGGTGGGTGCTCTGAGACTCAGTCTTCTTGAAAGTTAAAAAAAAATTTCCCAAGCTGGAGCTGGAGATATGGTTCAGCAGTTAAGAGCACTGACTGCTCTTGTAGAGGACCTGGGTCCCAGCACCCATGTGGTGGCTAACAACCACCAGTAAGTCCAGGGGATCCAGTGCCCTCTTCTGGCCTCCACCAGCATTGCATGCCAGGTGCAATAGCATACACACAGGCAAAACACTCATACACATAAAATAACTAAAATATTTTTTTTTAATTTCCCAAGCTCTAAAACCAATGGGGAAAAAAACTGGAATCCAGAACTGTCCAACTCTTCTGCTCCTGGCACAGGGTCTCCTAGGAGATGTGGAGAAATTGTTGATGCCTCAGTGTAAACTCCTTCATTGATGATGGCACAGCACTGTGAGTAACGAAAAAGCAAAGTGATCCATACACACTGAGACACACAGTAACTAACAATGCAAGACCAGTATTATCTGTTGCTTGAAAGGTTGACCATCTGGAAAAGATGAAGTTGTTCTGGGCATTTTTATGCTGATCCCCGCAACTGGCACAAAGTCACGTACGGCATCAGCCCAGAACTGGTCATGAAAATCATTCTGCAAATGTCACCAAGACAGCCAATGCCACTGTCAGGCTCATTCACACCTTTTATAGATGTCCGAGTCGGGGTCTTGCAGGCAACACATGCCACACCCAAAGCAGGCAGTTCCAGGAAACTTTAATGAAGGGGCTGGGCTGTGCACACCTGACACTGTACTCCGTGGCAGAAACTTTTCTCACTATAAACAAAGCCGCTCACTTTCCTACTTTTATTCAACACAGTCCTGGAGGGTCCAGCCAGAATGAATCAGGCAAGAGAAAGATAAAATGCATCCAAACTGGAAAGGAAGAAATATGTACACCTCTGCTCACAGCTGAAATTTTATGTAGAAAACCCTAAAGAATTCAGAAAATAAACTTGAAATTAATAAATCAATTTGACACAACTGCAAGATGCAAAGCTCAACAAGCAAAAATCAGTGTCTGCCAGGGGATAATCAGAAAAAGCAAATTA